TTGGTGTACTCATCTGGTGTTACAAGTGCACTGCATTAAAAATTGATCATCTCTTTAAACTGTTGCAAACAAAACCTCACTCTCCAGCTACCTCACACTCAAATTCCTGAAATTTATATGGATATGTATAGACCCCTTTCTTGAACTTTAGAAAAACTGTACCCCAACCCCCACTTGGGGAGTCAGATTGAGGTACTGGCCCCTCTATCCTTACCATGTGCAAGGTAATAAATCTTCTTTCTCTCTCAAGTACTCAGGGTATGTGAACTGATTTGGCTCAATAGCACACCAGGCAGGGACACACTTTAGTCCAACTTCACATTCATAAGGCCTCTGCACTGTGGGTTCTTCTGTTTATTGAGGTTTGAGGTTTGACTAAACAATTTCCCACATTTTTTACATTCATAAGGCATCTCTCCACTGTGAATTCTTCTATGAGTAGTTAGCAGTGAGGAACAACTGAAAGCTTTCCCACATTCCTTATATTCATATGGTCTCTCTCCACTGTGAGTTCTAAGGTGTATAGTGAGGGTTGAGGAACAACTAAAGGTTTTCCCACATTGCTTACATTCAGAAGGCCTCTTTCCACTGTGAGTTCTTATATGTTTAGTGAGTGCTGAGGAATCCCTAAAAGGAACGATTAAATGCTTTTCCACATTCATTACATTCATAAGGTTTCTCTCCACTGTGTGTTCTACTATGTGTAGTGAGGGCTGAGGAATAACTAAAGGCTTTCCCACATTCCTTACATTCATAAGGCCTCTCTCCACTGTGAGTTCTTATATGTCTAATGAGGTGTGAGGAATACCTAAAGGCTTTCCCACATTGCTTACATTCATAAGGCTTCTCTCCACTGTGAGTTCTCATATGTGAAGTGAGGTGTGAGGAACAACTAAAGGCTTTCCCACATTCTTTACATACATAAGGTTTCTCTCCACTGTGAGTTCTTTTATGCAAAGTGAGAGCTGAGGAATGTCTAAAGACTTTCCCATATTGCTTACATTCATAAGCCTTCTCACCACTGTGAGTTTTCATATGTGAAGTGAGGTGTGAGGAACAACTAAAGGCTTTCCCACATTCTTTACATTCATAAGGCCTCTCTCCATTATGCATTCTTGTATGTTTAGTGAAGTGTGGGGAACACCTAAAGGTTTTCCCATATTCCTTACATTTATAAGGCCTCTCTTCACTGTGTGCTCTTAAATGTTGCATGAGGGATGGGGCCTGACTAAATGCTTTCCTGCATTCCTTACACTGATAGGGCTCCTCTCCACTGTGAGTTCGCTTATGTGTAATGGGGTGTGAGGAACAACTGAAGGCTTTCCTACATTCCTTACATTCATAAGGTTTCTCTCCATTGTGAGTTCTTTTAAGCAAAGTGAGGGCTGAGGAATGAATAAAGACTTTCCCACATTCCTTACATTCATAGGGTCTCTCATCACTGTGAGTTTTTAGATGTGAAGTGAGGTGTGAGGAGCAAGTGAAAGCTTTTCCACATTCTTTACATTCATAAGGCCTCTCTCCACTGTCAGTTCTTATATGTTTAATGAGGTGTGAGGAATACCTAAAGGCTTTCCCACACTGCTTACATTCATAAGGCCTCTCTCCACTATGAGTTCTTATATGTATAGCAAGACTTGAGGAAAACCTGAAGGCTTTCCTGCATTCTTTACATTTACAAGACCTCTCTCCACTGTGAGTTCTTAAATGCTGAGTGAGTAATGGGGCCTGACTAAAGCTTTCCCCACATACTTTACATTCAAAAGGCTTCTGTCCATTGCGATTTTTTTAATGTGTAGTGAGGTGTGATGACTGCCTAAAGGCTTTCCCACTTACCTCACACTCAAAAGGCTTATCTCTGCTATGACATTTTTTATATAAAATGCCTGAAGGACTATAGGTTTTACAACAGTCTTTACATTCACCCCTATGACCTCTCTTGTTTGTCCAAAAGGGAGAGAAACTACAGAAACCTTTCCCACATTCGTTACATTCATAGTGTTTCTCACCAGTGGGTGTTGTCCCAGGATCCTTAAGGGTTAAGGTACAAATGACGTCCTGTCTACATATTTTCCATCCATGGGTATTCTATCCATTGAGCGTGCTCATAGGAGTGGTCCACTGCGAGGGACAACTGCAGGCTTCTCCAAGTTCCTGACATTGACTGGTACTATATCAAGTGTGAGATCTCCTATGTTGCTCATGTGATGAGTGCTTCAGGAAGGATTTTCCACATTCACAGCATTGAAAAAGATATTACTTCTGGTAAAAGATTTACTGCTTTGTACCACAGTAAGATCTGGAATCCGGTTGAAGGTTTTCCTAAATTGACTGCCTTCATGACTTTCACAGAGGTTCTCTATTGTACGATGTCTGCTAAAAATATGCAACATGGTGTTAGAAATAGATTTCTCCCCCATCTCACCATTATGAAACACAAGAAACTTGGCATGTTTTTTTTCCAAGACTTGTTATGTTTCGCAGGTTAAATGATCCAGCAGAAATACTAGCCTTATTATCATGGTTTCTCTAAATTATGGGGCTTGTGATAATTGTGTCTGACTCAAATACATTTCAAATACTCAATATATAACTCATAAAAAAGTTGTACTGTGAAAATTTTCTGAACACGTAGTTTTATATCCAATCTCTCACATCAGGCTTTTGATACTTTGGGGATTCACGGAGGAGACTGGATTATTGGCAGGACTTTGGAGAACGACACACATTAAAAGCAATGCAACCGGATGCCCTCTGTGAGCAAGCAGGGTACTGCTGATTATTTCCCCGTTCTCACACACACTCACTGCCGATGCGTCGAATCCAACTCATAGAGACCCCTCCATGGGTTTCTGAGTGGTGCCTCTATGGAAGTAGATTGCCCATTGTTCCTTCTGAGGAGTGTCTGGTGGGTTTGAACTGCCAGCTTTCTGGTTAGCAGTCAGATACCTTAGGCACTATGCCACCAAAGCTCCTACTTGGGTCAAAATCTAACATAAACAGATTTGGATGCCATGCAACACATACACTGCCATTGCTTCCAGCACTAATTGTGGAACCATTAAGAACCAGACAGAAGTCTTGTTATACACAAATACGTACATGTGCATTTTAATGCCATGGCCCCGCAGGACCTTCTGCCGAGGCAGTTTTCTCTTGAATGACTTACACTCACCTCAAACATCCGTCCTGGTTTCTGTGCTGATCTTTATTGCCACGCAATTCAGACACATCTCCTAATACAGAGGACCAAATGTTCCTCTCCATGAATTACACCAGTATGTCTTCACTGGGTAACTTCTCCCCATCACAAACATTTTGAGAGACTGACCCAGTAACTGAGGTCGGGGTTCACAGTACGAAACAAAAAGATAAGGCATTATTAGGGG